AAAATTTTTATACTTAACTGGACTGCCAAATATTTTCCCTTTAAAAGTAATGAGGTGGTGTGCAAAATGTAGACAATATCGGGAAAATATGACAATTTCAATTACTCAAAGGTCAGGCTGATGTAATAATAGCCTGTGATACGTTTCTATTTGATTGAAATTTAAATTTTGGAGGATTTAGTTTTTGGGGGAGGGGGCACCAAAGAGGAAAGACATCAGTAGTGATCTTATAGAAACGTTGCTGCCATCAAACCCGAGAAGAGTTATAAACTCATTTCCAAATAATTTGAAGCTCATCATTATTCACAAGTGAAAAATATTCAAGACAGTTGACAATCACAGCAAACTCACCACAGTGTCAGAACATACAATGCTCAGAGAAACTGCATAAATCCCAAGCGCTGCATCTCAGACTCTTTAGGCCTTTATCAGCATGTTAAATGTTAATGTTCATGACAACAGAATTAGAAAAAGACTGAAGGAGCATGGCTAGTTCGGGAGGGTTACCAAAACAAGCCATACTGCCATGTTCTTTAAAGAGAATATGGCAGGACAGCTTAAGTTTGAAAAATTACATCTGAACAAACCACAAGATTCTGGAGCAGCGTCCTCACTTTGGACATATTTGACCAAAGTGGAGATGTTTGGACGCAATGCACTGCACCAACCAAACACAGCACATTTGCACAAACACCTCATAACAACTGTCAAGCTCGATGGTGGCCTGATGATTTGGGCTTGTTTTGCAGCCACATGACATGGGCACCTTGCAGTCACCTTGAGTCAACCATGAGCTCGTCTGGCTCGTCTTGCCAGCTAAAGCTTGGCCAAAATTGGTAATGCAAGAGGATAACGATCCCAAGCACAGCAGCAAACCTACATCTGAAAAAGAAAAAGTCAAGGTGTTGCAATGGCAAAGTCAAAGTTCAACATGATTAAGATACTGTGGTGGGACCTTAAGAGAGCTGTTCATAAACAAATACCCGCAAACCTCAGGGAACTGAGGCAACATTGTAAAGACTGGGCCAAAATTTCTCCACAATGCTGTGAGAGAGGGATAAAGTCATACAGAAAACAAATACTTTAATTACTGCTAATGAATCATGGGTACACTCAGTTTTTTCACACACCGGTTCTGCATTTTGGCTTTTGCAAATAAAAAATGGCATAATTATTAACATATTTAACCTTTTGATAGAACAAGTTGATTTTTATTATGCAAAATCTTAGAATTGAAAAAGGGGATTGCATCTATGTTATCTTAAAATCACATTTCTGGTTTATTTGTTTTTTGAGGTAAGTGGCATGTGCACTACTGATGAGACTTTTCATGCATTTAAATGTACTCTGAACTGAAATATATCCCACCAGTTTCATGTAGACTGCCTAGTGGCACATCTACAGTGGGCTCTGGGTTGCATGAGGTCTAGAGGAAAACATCTGACGTGACAAAGCCAAAACAATGACTCTGCCAAAATGTAGCTGTGCTGTGTTTGTGCGCTCCCACCCTCAAATAAAGAGGCGGGCAACGGTGAACAAAGACGAGCGAGGGGGCAGAAAGGGGATGTTAAAACAGCCCACTTAACAAATGAGCAATTCTCCACTGCGTGACCAGCTGTTTACGGCCGAGTCCTTACAGTCCTTCAGTTCTTCCACCGAGATAAGATAAAGGTCAGCCTTCGTGCAGCAGCATCTCGGTCCAGCGATCTTCTTCCTTAATCTTAATTTGCATCGTAAATTCATTACGAAACATTAGAGTTTAACAGAATTACAATCTGATTACAGGCTAGACTTCTGCTGTTCAAAACAAAGTGGCAACATAATTGTCTGCTGCCCCCTTGAGGGGAAAAAGCCAAACATCTAGAAACAACAAGCTCTTTATTTTCATCCGACACAGGTCAACATAAGGAACTGTAAACAAAACCTCTTGAATGGCCTTAAGTAACAAATACAAAAGAGGGCAATAAAAATGGAGACACTTCTGTAAAGGCTTTGATTGGTGTACAAACAACACAGGCATTGTCCTTGTTGGGTTTTCTTTGCAAATTCAACTGAGCTCACGTGAAAGACGTCTTCATAACTGCATCCTGTCCTCTTCTTTATTTTTTTTGGATGGAAGGGAAAACAACACGGAAAGCGCCGGCGGTGAATACTTTATAACAAAACAGCTGCCAACATGGAAAACTACTTGTCTGGATCAGGCAAAATACTGCACACAGTGATAAATTAAATTGCTATTAAACCGTTTGAACTCTACATGGATACATGATTATGATATTTAAATATTAAAGCAGCTGTAACAACCACCATTCACGATGCTCTAAATAGCTGGTGAAGGTAAGAACCACATAGTCTGGAAACAAACTTGCTTCACGTTTATTATCTGGCAGGCATTTAAGATTTGGAATGTCATCCACAAAAAACAAAAAAAAAGAAGAAAAAGAACCATCAAACAAAAGCTTTGACTATAACGTGTCGTGTTATTTTACTGTCCATGTGAGAGAAAACACCTAAGCGCCTTCACAGCATCAAACAAACATACAGTTTCAGGTTCCAAGATATGGCGAGGGCTCTCAAAAAAAGAACTCCAGTAAGGTCAGAGTATGAACCTTAAAACAAAAGTAAGAAGTGTCCCACCTCAACCTCAGTTCTGTACATTCAAAGGCCAGCGCTGACTGATGGGGAAATGTAAAGGGCAATAAAATGCTGCAGAAATGTCACTGCATCCCCACTTGACTGGGCCTCATCATTCCCTTGAAGACTCGCAGCTTTCCTGCTCCAGTGAGAT